GAATGACCTTGGGAGACGGAGGAAGAGCTGCAGAGTGGACAACCTTCATATAAAAGACATCTCAGTCCACAAAAAGAGAGAGGGCACAGGAAGCGTTTCAGAAGGGACACCCCACCCCCCCAGTTTTCCAGATGGTAAAAAGGAGGAGGAGAGCAAGCAACTCATTCGGCCTCCCAAGAGTCTGTTAATGTAAGCTTGCCATAAAGACAAGAACTAGCGTTCGTTGTTGTGCTTTGGGTCTGGACTATTTCAAAGGACTAACAGCCAGTTTACCATACAGGAAGTCACCGCTTTAGAAATGCCTAATTCCATCCCTCCTGCTTATTTCTTACACTCTGCCCTTTCTATAGGCATTCTTTCAGTGCTGTTTGGGAGAAGGGGGTTTAGCAGTGACAGTGTTGAACACTTCTGCAATAGAAAGCTAGCAGTGGGGAAATTAAATCCACCCCCTTTGTTTTTTTACATATATTTTTTTTAACACGAGGAAATTATTATTCAGAAATAAAACTTCCCAGTTCTATTTCTGCTTGAACCATCTTCTTGAACCGGTGAATCACAGCAATTTGAGAACCAGAAATGATTGTGTAAGCAAACTGTGATGGTTATAGCAATGCAAGTATGTGTGTGCCTGTGGGGGGGAAAACCCTCCTGCCCATATATCGTGCTTTGCCTTTTCTATAGGCACTCTTTATGAGGTCCTGCCGCTTGAACGTTGGCAGCTTTGACAATCTAAGAAAATCTGAGTTACTAAAGAATATCTGAGTTGGCTGCAATCGCTCCTGGCCACCCCAAAGGAGCGACAAGAGTTTTGTAGATGGAAACGTCGAGGTTTTACTCTCCAGTTTAAGGAGGTTCGTGGAATCATAGAGTTGGTAAGGATTTCACCATATGTAGAAGATTCTGAGACGGTTGGACCGCATTACACGTCTACGGAGATTGTTAGTCATCCAGGTCATCGTTATCCCAAAGCAGAGGTGGTATTCAGCAGGTTCTGACCAGTTCTGGAGAATCAGTAGCGGTAATTTTCAGTAGTTCGGAATACCACCTCTGACTGGCCCCACCCCCATCTATTCTCTGTCTCTCAAGTCCCAGCTGATTGGCTGGGTCTTCTTTTGTTGCCCGGCACTGGAGAACAGAGCTGGAAAGCAGGTTAGTGGGGTGGGGAGGGAATTGAGATTTTGCAATACATCCTTCCCCTGGAGTAGGGTGGAAATCGGGATTTTATAGTATCCTTTCCCTGCCACACCCACCAAGCCACACCCACAGAACCGGTAATAAAATTTTTTGAATCCCACCACTGAATGTAACCCAGTTCAACCACTCCTGTATGTTCTTCTCATCCATTTCTGACCTTTAAAAAAATGAGCAGAGGGTTAGGAAGAGAGCTGCCAAATATAACGAGTAAGATCTTGGTTCAGCCTTTGAGTATCTATCATGGGTGAAGACCATCCCAGTTAGGTCTTTAGAAGAAGAAAGAAGCCTGCCAAGGCCGACTGAAGGTCCGGATAAATCGAAGTTTCGTAACACTTTGGTTTGAGGGCTGTTTCCAATTTTTGAATGTTGAGTCAGGAACTGTACTCCAAAAGGTAGATTGTAGTATCCTTCCCTGCCATGCCCACCAAGCCACGCCCACAGAACCAGTAGTAAAAGTTTTTGAATCCCACCACTGTCCCAAAGGTGCGTTTTCAAAAGACCATGGGGCTTTTCTTTGAAGACATTTCACTTCTCCTTCAAGAAGCTCCCCCAGTTCTGGAAACCAGAGAACGGAAGTAGCTTCATAGATGAGAAGCGAAATGTCTTCGAAGAAAAAAACAAAGTCCCATTGGCCTTTTGAAAAAGCACCTTTGGGACTGCATTACATCCAACCTCTCATATCACTCTGGAATCTCCATACTTACATTCATATCCCTCCTCTCCGTTTCAGACCTTGTAAAATCACTGCTTTACCAGAGCAAACAGTATTTTGACAGTCTGATCTGCCCTAAAATGCTTTCTTCTTATTTACTCAGCCCCATCCATCCTATCAGGTGCTAGGGGGAAGGAAAGGAGAACATAACATTTGCACAGCCTTGGGCTGGCAAGAGTTTATTCTGATTTTATTCAGAGTTTATTCTGATTCTCTCAAGCATGGGTCCTGACTATCACAGCACCCCTACCAAGGTCACAAATTCCTTTTGCTTATTTATCTGTTGCTCGTTTTCCACCGAGCTTATTTTTCCCCCCAGCAACCTAGTTATAGGGAGGAAGAAAACGTGTCGTTTCTGCTCAACAAATTCAAGTCTGAAAACTTTATTTTGCCAATCCTGCAAACCATGACTTCAATGGATCTTCTGGCCTGTTTATGTGCTGTGCAGGAATGGGATAAAAAAAAAAGTCACTAATTTTGGCAATGACATCCTGGAAGACTTCAGTTGCTCCTGTAATATTTTCAGACCTAGTAGAAAAATGTTAGGAAAGATCTGGCTTCCCTCTCCAATGATACATCTCCTACGAAAGGACGTGTGGTCTGTTCACCAAGGTTGCTGTCTCCGATCTCCACTAACATCGCTCCGCTCCTATTTTTCAAAATATCCCATGTGCTACTGCTATCCGAAGATTCTCCAGATCGGATGGATAACGCAGGTCTTAAGTGCCAAATTGGCTCAATGTTCTGACAGGACAGGTTGAAGCAGAGGTGGGATTCTCACTATGCATGGATCCATCACCTCTGCAACTCTGAGCAAGAGGTGTTCACCTTCAAAGAGCTCCTTTGAAGAGGCTGTCTTGATGGAGAGTTCTCATTTTTCCAATATTGTGCAAATACAATCCTTGCAGCAGTCAATACATGCAAAACTAAATATACAGTACCCTTATCATAGCATTATACCCAACATAAATATTTCAGGCTTCAGATCTAAGTAAAGGTTCCCTTTGCACATACGTGCTAGTTGTTTCCGGCTCTAGGGAGTGGTGCTCATCTCTGTCATAAAACCGAAGAGCCAGCGCTGTCCGAAGATGTCTCCGTTGTCGTGTGGCCGGCATGACTAAACGCCCGAAGGCACACAGAACACTGTTACCTTCCCACCAAAGTGGTCCCTATTTTTCTACTTGCATTTTTTACATGCTTTCGAACTGCTAGGTTGGCAGAAGCTGGGAGAAGTAAACGGGAGCTCATTCCGTTACGCAGCGCTAGGGATTCGAACTGACTGCTGACCTTTGTGATCGACAAGCTCAGCATCTCAGCCACTGAGCCACCGCGACCCCCTTCAGATCTATATGTTTCTTAATCACCTTTTCCAACCATGTATGTGTTTATGTCCAATATTTTCTTGCTTTCGTACAAGTCCACCACATATGATAATAAGTCCCTGGAGTTTGATTACATTTCCAACATTTGGTGGACATATTGATGAATATTTTTGCTAATCTTGCAAATGTCACCTATAAAACATTTTTTATACGTAGTAGCCATTGTCAGTTTATAGTTCTTGTCCCAAAGTTTTTGCCATTTATCTAATTCCATCAGATAAGGACATAATTCGGAAAATACTAGACTGTGCAGAGATGGATAGACAGACATTAAAAATAAAGGATAAAAAAGACACTGAATATTACTTAAGGTGGAATAGATTTTACGAGTGGTTAGAGATAAGAAGTAGAAATTAGGCGAAGAAAGATTATTGTTATGTATGAATTAAACATAGAGGGCTTACAATTATAAATAGGTTGATATAATTAACAGAATTACAAATAAGAGAAATCTAGTTAAAATTATTCTGTTACACCATTATTACTGTTATTAGTATACATGTTAATATTTATATTTCTTTTCTTTTTGCTTTTTTGTAAATGATATGCCCTGACAAAACACTGTATTCAAAATGTTTATGAATAAAAATAAAACACATATGGAAGAGGAGATCTTCTTGGAAAACAGGGGCAGGCAACTTTTGGGGGTCAATGGGGATGCCCTTGAAACTCAGTGACCACATCACAGATGTTATCACCAAAAGTTGCAAAGCTGTTGGGCTTGGGAGAAGTTCAGGAAGAGGTTACCGATCCATTGTTCAATCTGATCAATCACGAGACATAGATCTCATAGAACAGGGGTCTCCAACCTTGGCAACTTTAAGACTTGTGGATTTCAGCTCCCAGAGTTCCTCAGCCAGCAAAGCTGGCTGAGGAACTCTGGGAGTTGAAGTCCACGAGTCTTAAAGTTGCCAAGGTTGGAGACCCCTGTCATAGAAGACAAATGAAAATTATTTTCCTCACCAGTTTTATACTTGAGATGTTTCCCATGCTGAGTAGCCTTTGCTATCAATGATTTCTCAACAAGGGAGACCCCACCCTTTCAAAATATTTTGGAAAATGGTTACAGGAATTGGACATGTCTAGTTTAGTGAATATACGGACTAGATGTGACATGACAGCAGTCTTCCAATATCTTCCACAAAGAAGAAGGAATCATCCTATTTTCCAAAGCACCTGAAGGAAGAACAAGCAGCAATGGATGGGAACTTATCAAGGAGAGAACCAACCTAGAACTAAGGAAAAATTTCCTAACAATGAGAATAATTAATTACTGGAACAATTTGCCTCCAGAAGTTGTGGATGCTACAACACTGGAGGTTTTAAGAAGAGACTGGACAACCATTTTTCTGAAATGATATAGGGTTTCCTGTCTGAGCAGGGGGTTGGACTAGAAGACCTCCAAGGTCCCATCCAACTCAGTTATTCTGTTATTTTCAAAGAACTGGGTTGCTATTATCCATACAGTTGATTTTTTGTTTAGAATATGCATGGGACCCACTGACCTAGATCTGAGATCCCTAGATGTGACGGAACTCTAAACACTAAATCATACTTACACGGAACTGAGAATGTGTTGGGCACTAATAAAGATACCACCATCTCCACTTCATCATCCTACTCGTTAGCTGTGAACCTATTCATGAACCTGGACCAAAGGAACAGTTAGGCAATATGCAACATTCACATAAAAGGCACCAGAACATTCAAGTTTCCTTATATGCTTTATTGTAGTAATTGTTATAATTAATGTGCTCGCCAACTGCTTTGCGTTCAAGAATCTAGTAGTCATCCTTGGCGCTTGAAAGTTGCTCCTTCTAGGTTCTTCATGTGTAGATTACCGGTTTGGATTTGACCTGCAAAATGCTGATCTTCATTGCACCGGAAAATTTTGCCTGTTAAAAAGAAGAAAAGAAACAAAGATCCCCCATTTAAAAGAAAATGGAACAGGAGGTTACCAGGACTTTGTGACTTAACTCTGATTCTAATTCTGTCTCTAGACCTCTATGTCTTTGATTTTGTTTTAACTCACTCATTTTCTAATGCTGCATATTTTATCATCCAGCAGAAATACCTGTTCGCATCACACACAGAATAAATGTCCAGTTTCTCAGGAAAGAACAAACAGTTAATATTTGATTGGCAAGACTCAGAAACCAACAGTCTGTCTTCTGCAGCCATTTAGCTCCAACATGGTCTTGGTATCTCTATCTCTCACTCCTTTATGTGAATTGTTGAAAATTATTAATATTTAATTTACTGGTGCAAGTTCTCTTTTTTTCTGAGACCCTCTTTCTTTTCTCTCCTTAAATTGAAAACCTGTTAACACAGGCTGCCATTTTATAATTGATTGCTTCAGAAGATTTTATGGCTGCAGCCGAGTTCAAAACACTTTAAATCCAATTGATCAATCAACAATTGCTCTTAAATGGATGCCACCATACTAGGGATTTTCAGAAAGTGGCTGCGGTGTGAAATTGCTGAATAAAAGTATCAAGAGGTGTGAATTTATTAACTTGGGCTCCATGACAAAATAAAAGGAGGATTAGAGGAAAACACTGACGTTGCAGAGAAACTCAAATGCTCTGAAATCTCTTGCTTTGACTCCAGAATCTGGTATTTATGAGGAAAGGGAATCAGAAGAACTTAACAAATATTGGTGGCAAGAGATAAAAAGACCTCTTGTGATAAAGCAACCAGATATAATTAAGATATGACAAGCTTCAATCACTGGACACTGTTGGCTGGAGCTCAGAAGAAATGTAGCTAAAAATATCTGAAGGTATCAGGTTTGTAATCCTGTCAATTTCATCAGCTACGTGGAATATTATATTACATTCAATTGAGAACTGTAGAGCTATGTCCCCAACATCTGGTGGACACCAGGTTGGCTCTAATCACTGATTAATTACTGATTTGGATGCAGTCCAGAATATATACCTGTTCCTCTGGAAATCTAATCAATACACGTGAAAGGCCTTAAATCTGGAGCCTAGAAAAACTTACGATTATTCTTTCCATTTTTTTCCCAATGGGCCAAAGTGTGGGAATACACCTCTTCCAGGTAATCTCCAGTTTTTCTGATGTTTCTAAGCTGCCCTCCCTAAAGGCTATTGGAAGTAACTTTCATTGTAGATCCGGTAGGTCTCCAAAAATGGTAACTTTGAAGACTGGTGGACTTCAACTCCCACAATTCCCCAGCTAGTGTGGCTGGCTGAAGAATTCTGGGAGTTGAAGTCCACAAGTCATAAAGTTCCCAAATTTGGGGACTCCTGTTTTGGACCCTGGGAAGAATGCCTCAGTATACATTTGTCAAGTAGCACGGATCATACAGTGAGAGCATACGGGTAGTCCTCAACCTATGACCACTATTGAGCCCAAAACTTATGCTGCTAAATGAGACAGTTAAGTAAATTTCCCCCATCTTATGACCTTTCTTGCAGTGAATCAGTGCAGTTGTTAACTTAGTGGCTTCCCCGTTGACTCAGAAGGTCGCAAAATGTGATTACATGAACCCGGGACCCTGCAATGGTCATAAATAGGAGACAATGGCCAAACATCTTTGAGCAATTTTGATCATGTGACCCTGGGGAATGCTGCAATGGCCGTTAAGTGTAAAAAAATGGCCGTAAGCCACTTTTTTTCAGTATCGTTGCGACTTCGAACATTTGAAACGTTGTAAGTGGAGGATTCCCTGTATCCTAATTTACTCTCCACCTTTTGATTCTATTTTTTTTGTCCAACTGCTGAAACCGCAGACCTCAAAGCTCTTTTGAAGACCAGGAGATGCAATCTTGCCTACGACCTTTTATAATCCTTCAGAACTCAAGTTATCTGAAGGAAAGAACTGGGTTGGACAAAAAGAAATCAGTTACACTGAGGGGAAAAAAAAGTTGAAATTGATTACCTGAGGAGATTAAAATAAAGACTTGCGGGGGCGGGGGGGCAGGGGTGGAGTTTTCTTCACTTCTCATAAACTAACCTGGCATGTTAATTGTGTCTTTTTGAAAAAAGAAATTTTTTTTTTAAAAAAAGCTTTATCCCACTGCTTGAATGACTACTCACCGTTCACAGTTTTAACCCGCAAGGTGTATATTTAAAGGCTAGCTTACTAAGAACAAACAATTTGGTTGGAAAGCCCCTTTCTTTGGTTGCCTCAAATTTGCAAAAAGGTGACAAGCCTAAGCTGGATATTTGAATACTGACACTTCAGCGAGGAGAAGCATCAAACGCAGGGAGCCACCAGGGAGACTGAAAAAAAGGCTGAGTTTTCCGCTATTCATACCGAGAGTCCTTTCCAGTGACAGAGTAGTTCTCACACATCACAGATATACCATTACTACTACTACTACTACTGTGATGATGTCAACTACGACCACTGGAAGGAATTAATGAATGTGTGGAAACGAAGGGACCAAAATACAACGTCAAGGGCTTTTGGTATGTTCTTTCAGGATAGGAGGACATCCCAGGGAAGGACAAAGGCACGCAGGATGCAAAAACCTGTTTTAAACTGTCCCTTCCGTAAATCGCTACAGAAATTTCACAATGTTTTTTTTTAAAAAAAAACATCCTCTTGGATGAGGATGCAGGCAGTCCTCAACCTACAACAGTTCATTTAGTGACCATTCCAAATCACAAAGCGGCCACTGCCGCTTCAGTGCATGCTGCGATTGTGTGATTTACATTTTCAACATTCTCTGGCAGTTTCCCAGTCAATCTTGCAATCCCCCACTCACTCAACCCACCCAGTAGAAGCCACTTAACCGACTGCTGGGAAGGAGAGCGTAGGAGATGGGAGAGGAGAGAAGGGAAGGAGCGGGGAGAGGGAAGGGGAGGAGAAAAGAGGAAAGGATTTCCCACGAAGAATCAGTGGGGAAGCCAGCAGGAAGTTGGAAGTCATTTGCTTTGGTCATTGTTTCTTTGTTTAGATAAGGAAACATGTCCCAAACTAGACACAGGTTATTATTGGGAAGAGTTAAAACGCCATTATTTAAATGGTTCTTCAAGCTTTCAGTCAAGAGAACTCTATTTTCTTGGAATTGCTTCAACAAAAGCAGAGGAACAAGCAGACCTTTATCTAACTAGAAGCAGCCATCGATTCATTTATCTTGGAACACCTTAAGAAAAAAAAAAAAACATGTCCGCTGCCAAGCCGAAACTTTTCATCACATGACTGTGGGAATGCTGCAACAGTTCTCAAGTGCATGGATCAGTCATAAGTCCCTTTTTAAAATGCTGTTGTAGCTTCCAATGGTTGCTAAATGAATGATTGAAGTCAATAATTACCTTCATTATATAGGTTTGTGGCCTGGAGTCAGTTATGAAGTAATACGTAATTAAATAATAATCTCTCTGAGGGAGATGGGCAGTTCAGAAATGTGAAAAGCAAATAAATAAAGACAAGATAAAAATCTAATGAATACATAACTAAACACATAAATAATGCAAATGCTTACTTGAGCCTAATGAACTGGGGAACAGAAAGAGTATGAAGACAAAATGGCAATCTATCCCAGCTCTCATGCTCACCTAAGCACTGTTCCATCTCCACATCATTCTTTCTGATTCAATCATGTAATTTCCACTCACTTATCAAATGGGACTTTCTCTGGCCATTGTGCACTACCCCAAAATCTGCAAAAAGCAAGAGAAGAAAAACGGACTGTAATTACAGATTAACCTCAAAGGTACCGTCTGGAAGGAATTTTTCAACATTGTTATTGTTTTTAGAGCTATGTCCCACAGCCTTCCCATTTTGCTGCACAACAATCCTGTGAAGTGGGTTGGGATGAGTGAGAATGACTCGCCCCCTCAAATAACCCAAGGACTCAGGGTGGATTTACTGTGATCCTGTGGGAAAAACCTGGAAGGGAATCTACTATACAACCAAAGAGTCATTGCTACGTCGTAATGCTCAGGAATCTAGTTACTGAAAACAGGAAATGTTATTACAGCCACTCAAAACCTACAATTAAAATGCAATGCAGTCAAATCTTGATGGAAGAATAACGGAATCCCCCAAACAGAGGAATGAATTATGAATATGTCAGAATTATGAATATGTCAGAATTCACAGAAATAGCAAATTCTGTGAACTACTGGGTCAGGAAAAACATCATTTTTGAAGACACCCTTCGATTTACTAGCACGATTGAGCCCCAAATTTTCATTGTTAAGCGTTGCTAAGTGAGTTTCGATCCATTTTACAACTTTATTTGCCACAGTTGTTAAGTGAATCACTGCAGTTGTTTTTAAGCCAATCCAGCTTCCCAAAATTTTGACCTTGTTGCTTGTGTAAGAAGCCACACCCGGGAAGGTTACAAATGGTGATCCCATGACCCCGGGACACTGCAACCGTCATAAGTACATACCAGTTGCCAAGCACTTGAATTTTGATGGACATGAACATGGGGGATGCTACAATGGTTGCAAGTATGAAAAACGGTCGTAAGCAGGGGTGGGATTCAGCTGGTTCAGGTCGGTTCAGGTGAACCAGATGTTAAATTTACATCTGGTTCACCAAACCGGTAGTTGAACCGAACGGCTGACCCCGCCCACCCCGCCCCACTCCTCCCAGGAGTCTCCACACAGCCCATTTCAGATGCAGGTACACGCAGGGTCTGCGCGGAGGCTCTTCTGGGAGGGCGAAAAATGGAAGTTTGGAAACGGGCCTGTTTCCAGCTTCTGAAGGGTCCATGGAGCCCAGAGGAGGCCATTTTTGTTCTCCCAGAGGCCAGAGGGAAGCCTCCAGAGCCTGGGAAAGGTGAAAAACGCTCCTCCCAGAAGTTCTAGTAGGCCACGCCCACCCAGCAACCAGGCGCTGCTGGGATTTAGGAATCCCACCCCTGGTGGTAAGTCACATTTTTTTCAATCCTGTTGTGTCTTTGAACTGTCACTACATGAATGGTTGCAAGTCAAGGACTACCTGTACAGACGTTCTGAAATAAAACTTAAAAGATTAATTTGTATAAACATGAAAATTTGAAAACTAAGAAAGATGTGAATGCAGGAAAGAAGCTGAAAGGGATTTAACTTTAAAAGCACAACTATAATGACATGGGAAAATACCCGAACAAAGCTGAAAAATATATATATATACATACACACACACACATATATTTGTTTTCTCAAGTTTTCGTGGGTACTTACATGTATGGCATTCAGCTTTGTTAGGGTATTTTCCCACATCATTGTAGTTGTGCTACAACTTTAAAAGCACAACTACAATGACGTGGGAAAATACCCGAACAAAGCTGAATGCCCCCCCACCCACACACATTTTTAAAAAAATGCAAGACAGTGCTGTAAAATCCATTGTGTAAGCCAATTTTAAATGAACAAAATTGGCTTGATTCGGGTTAATAAAATCACAGCACAAGGATAAGCTTTTGCAGAGAATGATATGGAAAAAGTGTTTTAATTATATTCAGACTTTCATTTGAAAGAGAACAAGTAACATAGAATAAACCATTTCTCCTTAGGAATCTTTGTAGTAGTGGGCCCACATCAGGGATGGACAACTTCACATCTTTAAGACTTGTGGACTTCAACTCCAACAATTCCCCAGCCAGCACACTTCCTTATATCCCAATATAGAGTACAATACAGAAGGTTTAGCATTAATAGTTTCCAAAGTCTCATAGTCATAAAAACAAATACTATTGGAAGATCAATTCACTGAGATGCTCTAATATAGATGAACATATCCATTATCTAGATATAGACAATATAAGTATATAAAAACAAGCTTTCGTAAAGAGAAAGTTAGTGTAAAAGTTTTTGTTGTTTACATTTATAGCACAAGGAATTGCCGCATGATAATATAAAAGGAAAATTCCTTCTATTAGTGATAGTAGATGAAAGACAATTTGCTGTGTGTTGAGCATAGCAGGGTAGAAACCAGGAGGCTGGGAGTTCTAGTCCCACTTTAAGCATGCAAGGCAGCTGCATGATCCTGTGCCAATCACCAGGAGACTGTGAGTTCTAGTTTAAGGATGCAAGGCAGCTGTGTAATCCTGGGCCAATCACCAGGAGACTGTAAGTTCTGCCTAAGTACCTTAGGCAGGAACCCAGCTGGGTGACTTTGGGCCAGTTTCTCTCTCTTAGCCCTAGGAAGGAAGAGACGATGGCAATCCACCTCTGAAATTTTGCCAAGAAAACTGCAAGAACCATGCAGTTGTCAGGAATAAAAAAAACTGACAAAGGCACCAAACAAATGAACAAAAAAAGAGATATCAAAGGTAAAGATTCCCCTCGCACATACAGGCTAGTGGTTTCCGACTCTAGGAGACAGTGCTCATCTCCATTACAAAGCAGAAGAGTCAGCGCTGTCTGAAGACGTCTCCGTGGTCATGTGGCCAGCATGACTAAACACCAAAGGCGCACAGAACGCTGTTACCTTCCCACCAAAGTGGTCCCTATTTTCCTACTTGCATTTTTTACGCGCTTTCGAACTGCTAGGTTGGCCAAAGCTGGGACAAGTAACGGGAGCTCGCTCCGTTACACGGGCTAGAGATTCGAACCGCCGAACTGCCGACCTTTCTGATCAATGAGCTCAATGTCTTAGCCACTGAGCCGACGCATCCCTTTAAAGAGATATTAGACGCCGGCAAAGACAACTTTTGCTATTCCTGGCAGGCCGAATACCTTTCAAGCCCTTTCAGGTCTGCCTCAAAAGGACTAACGGACTTGATTTGGCCTGGAGGGTAATTCTCCACTTGTGTGATTTTGATGGGGACAGATGCACGAAAGGAACGCCGGGGGGGGGGGGGGGGGGGGAGAAACACCGTGTGCTTCGGTGGCTCCAAGCCCACTCCTGAGAACTGCCAACTTACTCAGCTGGCCGGAGCGGCACTTATAACAAAAGAACAGCCCTTCATCTCTTCCACCTTGGCAGGAAAAGTGCTTTTTCCAGTTTCTTTGTAAAACCAAGCTGTTGTTTTATGAAAATCCCAGGCGTCCAGGTAGGGGTTGGCACAGAAGGGCAAAGCAAATGGAAGCAGCAGTTCAACATTTCAGAATGGGACAACTTGCCCCAGCCAAAGTCACCCACGGCCAACTCTCTGCAGAAAAACTCGCCGTGGGACAATTTAACGATTCTCTTTAATGATTTAATGATTTATTTTAATTTTTGCCATTCGCATTTCACTCTGGCCTTCCTTTTGCATCCTTTCTTTAATGATTCTGTTCCAACCATTTCTTTGAAATTTGTGTAACTCTTGTCCCGGAATGAGTTTTCCTGCACTGTGTTGGCCGTGGTGAATTGTCATAAACCCGTGTTGGTGAACCTATGCCACGTGTGCCTGAAGTGGCACGCAGAACCGTTTCCCCTGGCACGCGAAAGGTCGCCCAGAAGAGCCCCACTGTGCATGCAGATGCGCCACCACTCAACAGCTGACTGTCGGGTATCTGGCATGCATGCGCAGGGGGGGCGGAGGGGGTGCACAGGAGATGCGCATGCACTGTGCGTGAGGGGATCATGCATGCATGTGCAGATGTGCTGCGCACAAGGGGGAATTGCACACGCATGCACAAAGACGTGTGGCGCGTGAGGGGGGAAATTGCATGTGCATGTGCAGACATGCTGCACGCAAGAGGAAATTGCACCAGACACACATGCACAGACACGCAACGCATGAGGGTGGAATTGCACACGCATGCACAGATATGCGGCGCACGAAGGGCAATCATGCACGCCTGTGCAAGGGGTGTGGGGGGAGTCCCCAGCATGCACTGCCTTCAGGGTGCTGGCACGTGAGCACACACAAGGGAGTGCTCATGCAATTATCAGCACAGAAGCCAAAAAAGGTTAGCCACCACTGTCATAGACCAACAACATTTCGGCCCCTGGAGACTGCACAGCATCCAACACGCTGTGAATACAAGTAGTCCTTGACTTACATTCATTTAGTGACCGTTACAACAGCTCTGAAAGAAGCGACTTCCAGCCGTTTTCACTCTTACAACTGTTGCAGCCTTCCCATGTGGTCATGTGATCGGAATTTGGATGCTTGGCAGCAGATTTATACTTATGACGGTGCCCCAGGATCATGTGATTCCCATTTGCGACCTTCTGACGAGGAAAATCCATGGGAAAGCCCGGATTCACTTAACAACCGTGTCATTAAACAACTGCAGTGGTTCACTTAACGGTGGCAAGAAAGGTTGTAAAATGGGGAAAACTCACTTAACAACTGTCCCACGTAGCAACAGAAATTGTGGGCTGAACTGTGGTCGTAAGTCGAGGACTACCTGTACTTACCCAATTCCTCCAGAAGAAACTGGGCCATTTCTGATCCAAAAGAAGAATTCAGCACTAGAGAGCAACTTAAGACTTATTTACCATTTTACAGTGCTTTACAGCCCTCTCTAAGTGGTTTACAGAGTCAGCCTCTTGTCCCCAACAATCTGGGTCCTCCTTTTACTGACCTCGGAAGGATGGAAGGCTGGGTCAATCTGGAGCCCCCATCAGGATCTAACTTTGGGGGAAGGGGACTTTTTTGACATTTGGGAGGCTGGAATTTCCATTGTTAATCAAGACAGTTGTTGAGTCACATCCAATTTTACAGCCTTTTTTGTTGTTGTTTTTAAGACAGCTGTTACATGAATCACTACAACTGTTAAGTGAATTGTGG